TCCCCGCACAGCCATGGCCGGGGCCCTGCTCGAGCCCCACAAGCTGGTGCCCACCCCCTTCGAGGGGCAGCACTTCGACCCCTACGACTACTACAGCCTGACCGAGCGCTACAGCAGTGAGTGCCCCCCGCCTGCCCCAGAGCCCTCCCGGTGCCCCCCACTCCTGCCCCACATCCCCTCCATGCCCCACTCCCGCCCTGCAGCCCCCCAGCCCTGCCGGTGCTCCCCATTCCCACCCCAGAGCCCCCCACTCCTGCCCCGCAGCCCCCCTGCCCCGCCTGTGCCCCCCACTCCCACCCGGCAGCCCCCTGCCATGACAGTGCCTGTCACTCCCTCCCCGCAGCCCCTCCTCCCGGCCCTGCCAGTGTCCCCCCCTCCCGCCCCAGAGCCACCCCGTGCCTCCCACTCCCACCCCACAGCCCCCATGCCCCGCCTGTGCCTCCCGCCACGTAGTCTCCCAACCCTGCCAGTGCCCACCCCCCAGTCCTGCCGGTGCCCCCCTCTCCCACCCCAGAGCCCCCCTCCTGCCCCCCAGCCCTGCCCCGGTGCCCCCCAGCCCTGCCAGTGCCCCCCTGCCGCCTCCCTGCCCTGCCAGTGCCCCCCACTCCCGCCCCTCACTGCCAACCTAGGCCTGGGTTCTCCTGCACCCAGACCCCACTCTGGGTCTGTTCCCCCGGGGCTGTGGGGTTCCCTGCTGTAATTCGGATCCTTTCTCCAGTGGGACTGGAAATGGGGGGGCCCGAGGCAGGGGCCTCACAACCTCCTCTCTGCCCCTCCGCGTACACCCCCCAGGGGATGTGGGGGAGGGGGCACAGGGGCTTCTCTCCCCCCCTCACCCCCTTCTGTCCCCCCAGTGCCGGGCGGGTGCAGCCGGAAGGGCCGCTCCAAGCGGGAGGCCGCCGGGAACACAAACCGGCCCAACCCTGCCGGCCACGAGCGCAAGATCGCCCTGAAGCTGCAGCGCTCCGAGCGCCGGCGTGGCCAGGAGTGAGCCCACGGTGAGAGACGCGCGGGGGGAAAGGGGGCCGAGCAGGGGGGCCAAGATGGCTGCCACTCCTGCCGGGCATCTGTGTGGCTGGGGCAATCGCCGGGGGGGGGGG